CGAAATGGGCGAGACGCGAACCTATCTGAACAGAAGGAGACACAATGCAGCAGCCTACGCCACTGCATTATTGATTTTCCTACGATTTGAAATGTTAACTGTTAGTTGTTTTTGCATTCAGTTTTCCCTATGTCTGAAGACGAAGCGGGGTATCCAGCTTCGAAAATTCACAAAATAAAAATTCTCTTTCCCGAAGACAGTATTAAACCTCAAACTATATTACTTGGGATGTCTACATTTCAACACATAGAGTTGATTTTCTCAGAGAATCCAGTCTATATTTATTGGGCTGCTGGCAATCAACCCATACGTTCGCTCAGCTTTGGTCGAATACTCACGTTGAGCATCGTCGGAAAAACAAAAATATGCTCTTCTCTTCACTATCGATGAAGGGGGGGTATAAAAGAAATTGTATTTGTTACGTTTTGTATATCGACGTGCTTTGGGATACCGGAAAGGATTAGACACAAAAATACCGGAAATTATTTAACTTTTGAGGAGCGATAAGCCCTTCAGGCTATACGAAATTGTCTTGCTAGTGCGATATTGGGTAAATGTTTGAAGGTTAAGTGTACTAGACTGAAAGTCAACACAGCATTTGTTTTTCGGGTGTGGTTCTAAGATAGCGGCCTACAAAGGCAACTCCCGTATTCCTCGTTTTTTTATTAAAATATCCCTCATAAGACGTTATTCACAGGGTTCAATGTGAATATATTAACAGGGGGGTAGGGGGTCATACATATCGTTGCGAAATTATTTCTCTCATTACGGCGTTCTGTTTACGTCATCGATAATTATTCGCCTTCATGTATGTAAGCCTCAGTCAGAGAATGTACCAAGTTAGAATTGTATTTCCTCTTTATTCGAACCTGTATTCCCGCGTTTGTTAAATAAAACTATTATTGAAGCAAAAAGTCTATTTTTTGGAAATCGATCTTGTGTCTTCAACTTTTGCTTCTTTACGACAGAGAAAACAATACCACATAACCATTGCGGAATCGCCTACAGGAACTGTTCCGAAAAATATCATGCTGTCACGTACACAGCAACATGTATTTAATTTATCGATCTGTAACACCATCCACGCCCAATTGTACAACGGTCACAAACACACATCGAAGGACCTACGAAGTTTTCATCAAACGCCTCACATTGACAGCTGATTTGGAACATGTAGTGTGGCAGTATTCAGAGCAGAAGTCTTAGTTCGATTATTCGATTGACTCAATTGTGAATAATTCGCGGCCTCCGTAGTATTCAAACCTACACAACAGGGAAGGCTTTTGCGTAGCCGACGCTCTACCATCGAGTTACGAGGCTCACCGTGCGCCGCGGACTTAGGGACACTTGGGCCGATTAACTTGCCCAGGTTTACGGCACGCATGGCATCCACGAACACGGACGCAGTAAACTGACTGCCAGGCTGGGTTTATGTACAATTCCGCCAGGACAACATCAAATCTTAGAAATAATTATTTTATAAATTCGAAACAAAAACACAAATAAGTGTAAGCATATTTTCACCCAGTTTAAAATATAAGCAGATTCGAGGTGGCAAATAATAGTAACTTTTGTATTTCTTAGAAATGTGTAAATATAATTATTAACTTGCGAGCAATGAGCTTTGGACCACGCGTATACCACTGAAGTTAAAGGTACAGCAGCTTGGATTGTGCTATACCGCCTTCTAAATTACTTCATTTAAATCCGGGATATATTGTATTCTCAGTTGTCTTATAGCCACTCTCATTAGTCCTGCCTGTGATGTCTTATGTACGTTATTCCCAACCACTTGCTTTCCAGCGCTCCTTCATTAGGCAAACTTATACTTTGCAACTGCGGAGAAAAAGTGCATTGCTTTTGGGATTATTATTCACAGCGTCCAGTTGTTACTGTGCCAGGAATACTTAATTATACGGAGAGTTAATCGGCAAAAGGATGATTCCGAGGTAGAT